TTTATTGGTATAAAGGCTGACGTAGCCAAATGTGTAGACCCTGTAAAAATGGATAACGTCATTACGAGGGGGAAAAAGTTCGGAAAAATATTTTAAAAAAGTAGGATTTAATAATCATAGTTCGAAGCAATATCCATCATAGTATTTCCATTAAAAGCTACACGAGATTCAAAACTCAAAATTGTACACCTTCGTCATTTTCTTGAACTTTTTCAAGATTCGACTTTTGGATCAAAGCGCTGGATTTTGAAAATTATTTCAAGCTTTTTATCTGGAGCAGTAGACTATGCCATTAACTTTTGATAAAATAAACAAATTTGAGGTAATGCTAATTTTAGATAGTTAATGCGGTTACAATTAAATTCGACGGTGAAGCGCATAATACCCCCTTCTCGTATACATGAACAATATGCAAATTAATTCACACAAATGCCATTAACTTTTGGTAAGAAATAAAAATTTGGTGTGGTGCTAATTTTAGATTTTTAATGCCGTTACAATTAAGTTCGACGATGAAAACGGATAGAAACTCCTTCTCGTATACATAAACAATATGAAAATTGATTCGAACAAATTTCTCGCGGCATTTAATTAAAAATGATGTCGCCAATTGACGTGAACTATTTTACATATTGCTACGTAATGAGAAGGCTTACCACCCACCAATTGAATGACTAGCACGTACTTCAACTTATAAATATATATAAGCAGTGAGGACATAGCACTATTATTCTGTTTGAGAACACGGAAAGCATTGTCAATATGAGCCAAAACAACATGTTTCAATATAAGACGATTTGGAACGAAATTATCAGAAATTTTGCTTCTAGAATTTGTGTGAAAAAACATTATCGGTTTTTTAAAACGTATCACAATACTTTCACCGGATCAGCAGCGACCATCGCCATGTTGCAAGTTTTAAGATCTATCTCACGTTTCCAAAAGGCAACTATGAAACAGTCCGAGTTGATTCTCAACAAGTTATTACAAAACAATATTATAGAAAACGTTAAAAATTCTGACCAACCTAAGGAATTTTTCAAGTCGAGGACATTGTATAGGTAAGTAGCATATTTTTCAAAGTTACCTCTTTAAAGATTCTTTTGTACGGTATTTGCAATATGTACAATGTACATCATATTAAAATGTTTGATTTACTTTTACATTTTTTTTTCAGATTCTGCGATCTAAGCTTCGATATTCAATCCGAACTTTCGTATTCACTCGAAAAGATTGCCAACTTCTGTTGGATGATGCATTTTTAACTGGAAAAGTCCGATAAAACCAAACATTCACGAAATGAAGAATCTAGTCAGTGAGAAAACAAAGAATCCACGAAGCATTGGTCCACTCTTCAACCGCACAGCTTTTTTAAAACATTAAATATTGTTACTTTTTATGTATAATATAAATTTGAAGTACTATTATTCTTTCTGCTTGCTGATATATTTTCGGTGTTTTAGTTTTGCAATGACTGAGAAGAGAATCAATTAGAATCGATCATCTGTTGATTCGATTTATGATGATTCATATCATATCTACTGAAATCTGCACAATTGTAGTCACCACCAAAAGCCCATACATCTCAGTTTATTTTCGAGTAATATGCATCAGTTACAAACATCTTCCATCAATAACTACATTATAAATTCGCTCGAAATACTATGCCAAACTATTTATGATCCAGTTTTACTAAACCGTTCAAATGTACTTCAGTAAACTATGGATGGACTGCCTCGTTTTAATATGACAACAAACATGAAATAGGCTTTACAAATAAAACTCTAGTAAAATACACAAGACAATGAGATACGACGATATGTACAATATAGTCACCACAAAGTGGACTATTTAATAATTAGATATTGTAATGAATAAAATAATGTTAAAAAAATACATAAATTGTCCTTATCAGAAAAGCTTCGATTTTTAAAATAATTTTTATGCTAATGATACCAAGTATATCAGCTGCTGTCTCGGAAATCTTGAAACGCCGCGAGCATTTCAGGGTTGTCCGTCTGGTAGTCGAAAATCACACAATTTCAAAAGCACGCCGGTCTTGATTCTTTACTAAGAAAGATAAACCAAATAATGTTACTCCATTAGCGATATGGATTAGCTCATCTTATCCTCCTTTTCTTTCCACCAAACCGTCAGATAATAATCATAAAAGGCGATAAAATAAAGTGATCGATGAAAACAAAAAATAAAGACTGATTATGAAATCAGGAGAGCAAACAGAACTTTGAAGAAGGTTTAAAATATTTGCTTTCCGTTTGTTGTTGTTTTTTGCTTCAATCAATGATCGCCCGCGAAGATAACTTGTTTTTCAATCAGTTTGGTTTAAACCAAACTTTAATCATGGTCGCTAAATTATTTAGAGACCATGGTTCAATTATACATGTCTAAATAAAGAAGATAGATGGAGTGTGCAACCGGGGATTAACAAGGACTGAAATCTTAAACCAAGATTTTGTTCAGATTGTTGAAGAAAAACATGAACGACCGACGTCGTGTGGTCTGTCTCTAAATTTTCCAGTATCCACCATCAAATCGAATGTTTCAAGTAGTCGCCCAGGAACTGCTGGATCGCACGATTCTGGCGAAATCACCATTGCAAATGTCCATGCCCTCTATGTCGGTAATATATTGGGAAATGGTTCGCAATATAATTTCAGAGGGCCACATTAGTGCACTCGCGAGCAGCGTCTTGGCATATTGGACTAAAACCAATTTACTGGCCAGAAGGTTTTCTGCGCCGTGTGTCTATATTAATGTTTATTTGCTTCAAAAAGCCAACAGCATCTGTTAACAAACAAGAAAGCAATGCTCAATGGACACGAATAGCACAGATATTCATCTTTCACGGTACCGGTACGAAGCATCGTGGCAATCGTTAGGAATACGCTCGCCATCGCGACTCGGATTACCCTGCGTGGGTTCGCGTCTCGTGGGGGATAACTATGTGTGCGAGGATTGCTGGATTCCTCGCTGCCGTAGGGTAGTTCACGTAATCGCTGATCGGTTATCCGGATAACCTAGAGGTATTTTGCTATCTGATATCCAGATATTATTGTGACGGTTAACCGGATAATAGAGCAGTATGAATAATGCATATGCGCATTGGTGATTTCTATATTTTTTGTTGAGCGGCAACTGACATCTCCCAAAACATATAATAACTTTTGTTCACACCACTCTGCCTATATTTTAGCCATCCGTGGAATGCTGTAGTGCACTTCACTATTACATGCCGCTCGATTCGTTACGTCTCGTAGTTCAAAATAAATATGTAAAATATACTTATATATCATATATATACTTTGCGACGATTTGTGAAGATGTCGCTGCGATCATGACATTGGCTGATAATACCGCCTACTTTTTCAGTTGATAATAATTTTTTTATTGCGTAAATTATTCAATTTGTGGCCGATTCGAGCATTTTAAAATGTCTTTCCATATTAACTGTGTTCAACGTATCTCGCAATTGCGTCGACTTGCGTTAAAATAAAAGCACTTCTACTCTAGATGTGAAATTACGTGATGAGATTCACGAATAAATCCAGTTTTAAATCGTATTTTTGCAATCTTGCAAATTTATCAAATTTGAGCTATTATTGCAATTCCAATGAGTATAATTAATTTACTACAATAAATGCAGATATTAATATATTCGGGAGAAAAGTCGGGTGCGGAATATAACGCCAAAATTTTTTTATTTCGCGCAGGAACTGAAATCGCCGTAGTATGTTATCTATTATTTATCTTTTGTTGAAAAAAGTAAATCTAATACACACATTTTTGACTGAAAATAAGGCGGTAAATGCTAAAATACCACGACTCTTGATTTATGAGCCAGTAATAGATAGAACAAAACGCTATTCTAGGCGCCGTTGAATCGCCAAAATTTCGTAATAATTGTCTTTACTGAATTTGTAACAAGGGTAACTTTTCACGGGTTGTAACTTCTTATCAAATTAAAATTGGCAAAACGCCGATGCTAATTCCCCAAATAATCATGCAACGCGAAAGCAAACAATCAGCGATGCTATCAAGATAAGCCTGTAAAATTCGACTATTCCGAAAAGTTTAAAAAGGGCAGTTATAACATTTGTGGTTTTCATGGAACTTTCCCAAAATAATTTGTTTGCAGGATGGTCTATAATATTCCAGCAAAGTTTAACTTGACAGACTTTGTATCAAGTCATGTTTTTCATTTACTCACCTTGGATGATAAGTGATGTTGTTTAAAAACTGGTGCAGCATTGTTTTTGCTCTGTTAATTTAGTTTAAAAGGTATTCGAATTAGATTTAAAGTTGTGGCCTATTTAGTACAAACGTGAGAATATTTACAGTGCCATGGTAAAAAAGTGAATTTTTCAAATAAAATAAATTTCTGACTAGTTCTTTTTTTTCAATAATATCATTTTTCTTTGTCATAAATTTACGGACTTTGTCCTCCCTGTCCTATATTTTTTTCTGGGTACTTTTCACAGAAATAAAATGTTCGAAATGCATGATTTTGTGTGTTCATGATTTCATTTATATGTATGGTATTACAGTATATATATATGTGTACAAAGTTCGTCAATATTTCGTCGTACAATCACAAAATAATGAAGAACACAAATTACTATAGAACTTTGTGATGGTTTTTGGTCAATTTACCGCAAAAATCTTGTGAAATGGGTTCGCTAAAATTAGCAGTAACTTGTGAAATGGGTTCGCTAAAATTAGCAGTAACTGTCCGGTTAACCGGATAATTAAAATACGGAATACCCGGATAGTAAAAGTTATAGGTATCCGAACTAACTTACTCCACCATCAGATCCGTGCATCCGCATCGAATAACTGGCTAACTAATCCCATATCCGATAGGAACTGATAACCGGGCGAGGGGTATTGTTTTGCCATATGATTGTCTCATCGGCTTTCTTCTCCCCCGGGATAAATATGTAAAATCCCATTCGTACCATAATCTTCCTGCATCGCAAAGATGATTAACGCAAAACCTTCACAAGGTCGCGCAATTTTAATCTTCATTACGTCATCACACACAAAAAAACGAATCACATACGAAAAACGAAACCAGCCCACAGAAATTTTTGAAGTTAATAAAATCATAGACCTCTAGCGACAACAACAATCTTTTACTGAAAATTTCAAAGCAAATTAAGGTGATAAGCGCTTTTTTATAAGAACAAGAATTCTAACAACACAACATTATACAAAAACGATCTTCAAAACGATTCACTTCGTGTGCAACAAACATTACAACAGAGGCGGCATGCATGTACCATAGATATGGAAGACCGAGCTAGCCCAAAGACACAGTTGCGTGACATTTGCCATCCACAAATATAACAGAATATACGTACTAAATAGCTTCAGAGAAAAGAATATAAAAACATCTTTATGACACTTAAGTCACAAAACAACACATTATTAAGCTGAATTGAAACAATAAAAATTTTTACCAATAAATCGGCGTGCAGACAAACTATATATGTAATACTGTTTAACAGAAAAAGAGATGCCGGGAAAAAAATAATGTTATTATAAAAAAAACAGTATATTATGGTTACAGCTGGCACCAGGAGTCTTCCACTGTTTGGAAGAAGACTGTGGTATATTATCTTCTAACCCTTTAGATGCAGTAATTAGATTTCAGAAATACAGGCAAAGCAGAATTGAAAAAAAATAGATATATAATAAATTTATTCTCAGAAGCATCTATAACACAAAGAGTGTTCTGGCAACAGCGAGGACTTTTAACAATTGTTTATTGCCATCTGCCTCAATCCAATACCCATTACAGAGTTTTCAGGATTAAAAAAACAGTTCGAGCATATTTTACATAGTTAGCTATATTAAAGTATGCTTTCAATTCATTCGACAAGATAATCAATAAAAATCTTGAGAAAACTTACAATATACCTCAAATTCTCATATTTTAGAATTGATTGATACTAACAGTCGTTCCAGACATAGTGCACCCAGCGGAATAAATGTAAAATGAACATGGTTGAGTAGCCAACCTGCGGGACTTTCATATGGGCACCGAGAGTCACAACATAGATAACTAAAAACAAAATAAAATATCAATTTATCCCGGTCTGTCATGCGTGACATGATAATAATGAATGCCTTAGTGGCATATTCCAGTATTATACTGCAGAAAATTTTCATAGAATATATTCCAGTATAAATATAATAATCTACAAAATTTTAATACAAGATGTTGCACAAAAAGCATGCCAATAAGATTATACTTAATCTTGAATAATATGATGGTAAATCTTAAAAACACTTCACTGATTTATTACCAATTTTTTTCTTAATCAGTTTAAATGATAACATCTGGTCCATCCACCCCCGACTTCAATTTGGTGTAAAATATTCTTTATTCTAAGAATATTCAATTGGGTTTAAAAATTAAAAAAAAAAAAACGAAGCTGTCCGTTAGGAATCCCCAGTTAAACAAATCTGCAATACATATGGATTTCGTGAAGCAGGCGTAAAGTGAGTTATCAGAAGACAATTATAAATAGCATATACTGGGAAAGTGCAGCTTTTTTTGAAATATGCTTGTGAGTGCCAAAATTTGAGTATTTACATACAAAACTGACGCATCAAGCATGCATAACTTCCGTGAGAATGTCATCAAAAGACAAGATAAGACCAAAATTGCAGCGGACATTCAATTTGAAGCAAAACTGTTAAAACCTATCTATGAATGACATTATTTATTTCGGCAGACTAGTTGAAGTCAAAACCAAAATTGTTGTCAACTGGTTTCTTTTAATAATGGCTACAGTCAGGAACTTTTCTAACACTCCACTGCATTGGTGCAAAAATATATAATTGAGTGATTGGGAACCAACTAGAACTACACGTGGGGTAACCACAATTGTTAAAATACCAATACTCTGACAAATATACAATATTGAAACAGAATATTGTGTTCAGCTATTACTCCGAGCTTGAGTGAATCCGGTAAATCACAATATTTCAGAAGAGTTGAAGATCGGTAGCATGATGGTACAATACAACTTGATAAACTCATGTAGGTCTATTGCTATTAACATGGATCCTTCTGACTCGATGCGGTCTACCTTCATCTAATGTTTCATCATCACTCTGGCAATGATTTACAACCATATGATGCCCAGATTTGTTTAAAATATAATCAATGCCAGCACCACAACTGCATTCCGGATGGTGCCCCGACATGCAAACACCATGTTTGTCTTTTTCATACAATAATATATTCAGAGTTTCTTCATATATTCTTGCCTCTGGAAATTCAACCTTGGAATAAAATGCAAATTGAAATTATTATCAGGTTATTTTTCACCATTGAAAAAAATGGCGCACCAGAAGTATGTGTATCAAATATGGGGGTGACTAATTTTGTTCGCCTACTTTACATCAAGTTGTGTTCAAGGACTGATTCCATTTGACTAACACAGACAAACCCCGAACTAGTAAGGGAACTAAAGTAAGGAAAATCGGAATAAAATTATGGCCTCAACTCAACCTGGTATACATACTACGGGAGTACCAAAAAAATTGATATCAATTATAAATAAAAAAAATATTTCATATACCCAAATGAAAGCTAAATGTGAATTTGGACACTTTATATTTAACTCAAAATTGTTTTACAGTTATTGCTGCCTTATTTAAGAAATAGACAATTGATTGGATGCATATGGATTGTCAAATACACGGTTATACATTTCGACTCATACTCTGGTTACAAAATTACCTTTGTTTGTTTTTTCTCTGTAGCATAAACGATAGATGTACAGCAAATTTCAGCAACCTTTCGCCGTCGCCCATAAAATGACCACTGACAAATCTCATCTCCAATAGTATCTTTCATAAACAAAATTCGTCCATTGAAACGTAGAGATAACTTGTCAAATAATTCAATATTTTTCAACATATTGTCATCAGAAGAACTGAAAGATAGCAAATACATTGATAAGATATTAATGCATTGTATTCTTGGAAGCTTCATTTTTCCGGATGCCAGAGCAGCTGTGTGTGATGTCATCAGTTTTGTAAAAAAGCTAACTTGCAATTTTCAATTTTTGGTGCGTGTAAATTAAGAGTGTACCCGTACCACATCTATCAGCAACAGCCCTCTAGTTTAATTCTGTACATTTAAACCTAGCCTAAGGTTTTGTTAACTCTACTGATTCGGTAATCAGGTTTATATATGTTTATTTTTATCAATTATTTTATCATGGCTGGCTATGAAAAAAGGCTAAAGGACATGTTGTTAAAAGCATCCTATAGCTTAGTCATTTTCCTCTTAGTCAATTTCTGGCAACCTGGACGGGGTGACTTGGATAAACAACCAACATACCATGGCTCAGACTCCAAATCTCTATCTAATCTATCATGCTTATCCCATGAATGACCGACCGACCATGTTGGGCATTTTATCAGTGATAAAAATATAAAGATATATTGAACTCTATCCTGTTCTATTTAATCTTAGTTTTTTGTCAACATTCATTTACTATTCATGAATTGATAAATCCTGAAACAGACAAAAACCTTGTTTGAACAAAAACATTTACCTTGTGTAAGAATACTTGTTGTTGCTTCTATTGTACATGAATTTGACAACAGGTTTGTTTGTCCTCTTTACCAACTCTTGTTCTTCTTTTATTGAAGTAACAAGAGGAACTCTGCAAATTGGATCAAGCTCCATGCTTTTCTGTCTTAGAGCTTGATCACACTGGGTGATTAATCCTGAATAAGTAACCTAATATAACGAACAAGTCAAGGACATTGGAATCTAACACGTGTAGAAGATCCCTTCTGTTTATTTTATTGCGGGAATTTGCTTAAATCAAGCCCGATTATCAAGGTTATGAGAACTCAGATCGCTGAGCAAAGCTACGAAAAATCACTAAATTATCAAGAACTACTAAAACTATGCAGTTAGTTTGGAATTGCAAATAAATACCAATTGACATGATACTTGAAGCAATCAGCTATGAATTTTAGACATGACGGACTTAAATGAAAGCGTAAAATTTAAACTCAGTGAAAGCGTGCTAAGAAAATTCTAATGCAAAGTTTGAGTGCTCTTTGTTTTCGAAAATCATGATACAACATAATTTTTTTGTTTCGGATTGTTATTAAAATACGAAAATAGAAATTCATATTCAAACCTTGAATCAAATAATACTTTGCTTCTGCCAATAACTCTGCAATTTCATATCGACTATCTGGCAATACTATCGATCCATCTCTCAAGTAATTGAGAATAGTTCCGAAATGTTTGCCACATCGATCAATCAATATCCATCCTAAATAATGATAAATATCCTTGACTATAATACAATTAAATAAAGTTCTTCAAATTGAAGATTGTGACTGCATATTCCCACTACACTTTGGCATTTAAACCGGTGGTCAGTTTCAGCTTCCACCGCCATCAAGTCCATGTATATACCTGGTCAACTAATATGACAAGGACTGGAAGAGAAGCCTTGGTTTTCCATATAATTAAGTCGTCTTATCGACTTTTCTCTACCCAAATAATTATCAAATTTATATCCTATCCCCTCATAAGTCAGATAATTGCAATATTATACAAATTCAAAACTGAACGAAATCTAGAAATTTGTCAAAAACCCCAAAGCTGATAAAAAATTGAAAAAGACCTTCACTGTCCGTTAAAACCTCCATTCGCCCACTGAACATTGCTCGAAGCATATTGTCTTCTTTAGTTAACGTTCCCATAGTCGTGTAGTGTAGTGATCCTCCAACATTCAATTTTACATACTTACTTGTGTTATGGGAATTGCCTTAAAAAAACAAATACAATTGTTTACTTTATGTCTTTATTTATTAATGTTCTCTTTATATAATGGATAATAAACTTTGTGGAACCATAAAAAATAAAAATAATTAAATATTTTTTTATATCTCAAACCAAACTATCCCTATTAAATTTTTAAATGTTCCTAGACAGTGTTTACTTGAAGTGCTACGTGAGTGATTAAATATATCAAAACATGACCAAATTTTTTGCACATCCAGTGACCGTTTTATTGAGAGTACGTGTACTTCAGTATACTTAGATTATGTCAAGGTCAAATCATACTAAAATCAACGAGAGCTCATGTCTGTATGTGGACATAAAAAGTTGTGAAATCCTATATTCTATTCGTATTTTTTTTTGGAATGATGTTAAAACAAAACAAAGAATACAGAGTGACCCTAAAACAGATTCATTTCATTTTCCAGGTTTCCATTTTTAACATATTCTAGAAAAAGAAGTTGAAGTGTTAAGTAAATTTGCTTTGTTCTCCTAGAAGTAATTGAAGAAATTTATGGGTTCTGTTTTTTTGGAGGGTCACCCCATACAGGAATATATCCACAAAATATATTAACCCACTTTTGCATGGAGACAGCTCATGGTTCTGACGAGTCTTCAGTATAACCGCAGCATTAAGTGGCCCAGAAACTGGTAATTGATGGCTGGAGCTTGCTGCAGACTGACAAATATGTATGTTGCTTTCTCTGGATGAATCTTGGCTGGCTTGACTGCATCCACTCACATGCAAATTGACTACATCTGGGACGTCACCAGATATATCATTTGGTGTATTGATAGCTGACATTTCTTCAGCAAAATTATCGTTCATTTAAGCTTCTATCCAAATGCTTATGTTTTAACACAGATTATTTCTAAGTCTATATTTGCTAAGTTCATGTAAGTCAAATTGATGGACAGAGAGATGAGATTTCAAACTGTATGCAGGCATGCTGTCCCACTAAAAATTGTGGCTTGTATTACCATTGACCCTTTTAAGCAAAATTGCGATAGATAAATTATATCTAATTTTGAACTACAACAAGGTACAAAACGCAGGACAAACAACACATAAGACCAAACCTTAACGAGGTTGCAAAACTCCAAATGCGGTTCAAATATTTGACATAAAACTGCAGAAAGGGTAGGCTAGGTATGAAATGGCCCGATAAGTCCCTACTAAAATAGCTATGTCCAATGTGGTAGCCAGCTCTTGGTAGTATGGGAGTATTCATTTTGGGGGGTTCATATCCATTTCAGTAAAGCACTGTAGTCGAGACATAGTTACTAAGTTAGGGCATAAATAAATACTAAAACGCGGGAATGACAGGAAAATGCGGATACTAAACTAAGGTACCGTAACAAAAAGAAATTTTACTAAATGGAGGGAAATTACTATATAACTGTATAAGGAAAGGGAAATATGCATTTTCAGATTTTAGAGTGTATGTGCGGAAATCATAAAATAGGCCTTTCAGTAGGCACGTACCGGTATAGATATACAGACATAGGTACCCTACAAATTTTAAATTTCTCAGTAAATTTTAGAGCCCTTATATTGGGGTCACAGTCACATCCCAGTATGGTTTTAACTTTTTCAATTGCGTTTTGTTTTTGTTTTTCTTGTGTGTTAATTTATTTTCAGTGTGTGTTACTTTAGCTCAATTTCGTTGACAAAATGGTAATTTTATATTTTCTTAAAGGTTGTGACTGACTCGATGACCCAACGGTCGCTTCGTCACATCCTCGTCACAATGCCTTGAAAATAATTTTGATATGTTGTATGTATACTATTTGACATTGTTGACGAAATAAAATACTACTACAGTACTACCGGTACAGTATTCAGTGATGAAATTTAAAATTTTAAAAACATCGTAATCCTTTATATTAAACTAAATACGAGACCCCCGTACTGACCTAACAACAGGTTCGTTCCCTCATTTCAGATAATGCTAGTTATCGTAGCATTCGTAGGTCAGTAGGTGCCGTACTGTACCGGTACCGTATGCCATTACCGTACCGGTACCACATTCAGACATTTACCAGACTAGTCTACTGCACTAAGTAAATTACATTAACATGACAATTCTTAAATAACTCCACAGATCTAATTCATGCATCTACATTCTAACTTGACTATATGACTTTCGATACGCCAAATATAACAATAGCCAGATAGTAGACTTGACTGAAGGTCTCTTAACGCATTGGGAATAGTGAGTAACGCTCGTCGCCAGCTATGACGTACGTTTGCTGTGCTAGTCTAAAGCCTAAAACAAATACGGTAAGCGCGACATTCCGAAACTGGAACCCACCCACACAACATATTCATTTTAGTGAGGACATAGCAGATATCGCCATTTTGGTATGGCCATAATTATAATGGACCTTTCCCCGAGCATGGACTTCCTTGTTTACTTTGTGACATTGGCCAATCAGCAAGATGCAAAAAGTGACGTAACAATGCCCCCCTTTCGCATCCGCTCAGACATTTTTCTCACTCAGACAGATTTTCAAGCGTGATTGTAAACATTACCTCGTTTTCGCGTTTTTGAACTCTATTCGATAGTTTTCAGTTGTGTTTTGGGAACTTAAATAAAAATCAGATAATTCAATGATCACTCTGTCTTTCTAGGAGTTTTAATTTAATTGCAGTAATAAAAATTAGGCTGTGATAGACTAGCCTGAAATTCTTTACCGGTACTTTTAAAAAACAGATTGTTGTATGCGATGAATCATAATGATGGTTTGAAACACATACCCCATTTTACAGACGCCAACTCGCAAAAGCACTCTTGAAATAGCCTTGACAATTTTGCAATGGTAAAGTATAGGGAGAATTTTCCGAGGGTCAAAGGTCGGAGAAAGGTCCATAGCAGACGTTACCATTTTATTAGTGCCATAGTTCGGGCCGTATTTCAAATTGGACAAGGTATGAGCAAGGAGCATCAAGCCGAGGAGGCTTTGACATTCAATTTAGAACATTATTCGTTATGAATCGTTTCCAATCTCTTTCCCATCATTTAAATCCAGCGCTAGTCACAGCAAACTAGAGGTAAGATCGGGCCCAGAAATTCCGGCCCCACCCGGGCCCGTGGGTACTGAACCCGACCCGACTAATTAACTGGATTTGCAGGCCCGACCCGAACCCGACTAATTAACTAGATTTACCGATTTCTTTACCAGTACTTTTAAAAAACAGATAGTTGCAGTGGGAAACCCGTGGGTAACCAAAGCTGGCCAGGCCATTGTAGATTTTATCAGGGACACCGGCATTTTAATAAGAAGATTCCGGGCGTGGTTATTTTGTGGATACATACCGGACGTCGCCATTTTAATAAAGAAATATATATTTTAGTAGAGACGTAGCCGTTCTAGTATGGACCTGTCCTGGATCTTTTGGCAAAACCTAATTGAAATTTTGTATGTTTTCAAACCTTACTTTAGGTTATGTTTGCTCTCCTGATTTTAGAATCAATTTTTATTTATTTGTTTTCGTCAATGAGTTTATCGTCTGTTACGCCGATCAAGAAGTTGAAATAAACTTAATAGCAGACTTCACCCCTTCAGTAGTAACATACCGGAAGCATACTAAACCAGGACCAAGGAATGTATGTTTTTATTGTATGTTTGCTAAACCTGCCTAGTCAGATAATACACGAGTCTAAAAAAGTAGGGATCCAAGCATCATATATGTCGCAAACTTTGTTAGGTCAGCCCCAAGTGACCCATTATTTGCGCTGGCAACTGAGGAAGCAAATGAATGCTGAGAAAGACTTTTTGAAGAGAAAACAGTTCAGCATGCGGAAAAATAAATAGACGTCATTATGGATTTATGACAAATGTTACTGAGAGGAATAAATCATAGGTTATGGTAGTAGGAGTGTCTGCATTCTCGCATGTGACTGTTGGTGGTGTTGGAAAATGAAATTACGCATTTGCTTGTCCTGTTGCTTTGTCAAGATATGGTATGTCTTCACTGTTTCCAAGGAAAGAGTTTACATGGGTTTACAAGTTACGAAATCAATATGATAGTCTAACAACAGCTTTTTGTCACTCCTATCTACTAAGAGCTTGTTACAAAAAAATGCACCAAATCACTTGGTTTTTCTTTTTTTGAAGGGCTTCACAGAACTAGCAATGTGTCTGGAATATCCCGAAATAAAAGAATCGTCTTTCTTATCATTGAGCTTGTTGTTGAGTTCATTCACTTCCGCCTCCAACTCTGCAATTCTTTTTGCTGATGTTTCTTTTTCGTGTTGTAGTTTCTTGCGAAATACATTATTTCCGGTAGCACTAGATGAGGCCCTGTTTTGAATTTTCAAGTTCTGCTCTTGTAAACGTTTAATTCTGTTATCGAATTCCATTTTCTGTTTCACAATTTCTTCGTCTTTCTCCCTACAGACCTTCTCCTTTAGTCGCGTTTCTTCGTCTAATTTATTCTGCCATTTCATATTCTCTTCGTTGAGCCTGAGCTCTAAATTTATGATTGCAGCTTGTTTGTTCCCACGCAATTCTTTTACCTCTTTTGCTTGTTTTCTGCCTAAGTTTTCGATTTCCTCTTTCATCTCCTCGATTTTTTCCTGATAGCGTTTCATTTCCACTGTCTTGGTTTTCTGGAGAACTTTCATTTCTCCCTTCAATTTCTCACATTCTGTTTTATAATCGAACATGCGCAATAGAGATTCCTGCAATGTCTTCGACGATTGCCTTAACGTGGCAATTTCCGATTTTGCGGTTTTTTCTGTTGAGAGAATCTCGGCAATTTCAGCCTTCAGTGTTTTGTTATTCGACACGAGTGAGTTACGTTCTTTCTGTAAAGCTTCAGTTGTAGCATGCCATTTCAGAACGTCGCAAACTGTATTTTCAAGATCCATCTCATCAGCAAGATGCAGGATATAGATGCGATCACTAATCGAAATCGCAACAGATCTGTCGAAAATACCCTCGAATATGCAATGAAATGTTGACAACATCAGACGCATTATGACGTCACAACAATTGAAGCGTGAAGTTCAATTGAAATATGTTGCCATGTCTCACGAGATTGCCACTTTGTTATATTTGGGTCGAGATCAAGAGAACATCGTTTGCGGCAAATTTTATGATTTTCTATGACTTACTATTATTTAGGATTAGGACGTGATTACATGGCAAACGTAGGCCTCTGGTTAATTGCTCATTTTATGTAATGTCAAACTGAATGTTCTATAATCTATATCATCAGTGCACACCTGCAGCCGTCGGAGTCAGTCCTGCGACCGTGCCGTTGTATGTTTTAGCTGCTGAATACGCACAAGGCAAAAAATCCTACGAACTCCTCGAACGAAAACCATTACCCTGTTTTACGGGACATAAGGCTCACCATGAATAAATTGATTAGATTGGCGTTTTATCCATACTCGGGCGCATCGAGTTATAAAAAGTATCAGGTTATTGTAGGAAGCTCATTAAACAAAAAAACTCCATGGTTATTGTATTTTATTCAAAAAAGACGTAAAATAATAGTACCTCTACTGATTTGGAGTGTAGACAATAAAACACTACCTGGTTCATACATTAGGCGCACCGACTAATAAGGCGCATGATCGATTTTGAAAAAATATGATTAACTAACCAATTACCTTGCGTATCAAAGATGCCAGTCGATAACAAAAAGTTGGGAAATGACATTCAAGAAACAGATTTTGCTCTTGTCGGAGAAATAAAGGTCTGTATCTCATGACTTCCTGAAACAATTGATAATTCTTCAAATTCGCCATATTTCACGCAAAAAAATGGCATGTGACATGTTATTTATTCATGGTGTGTGACATGTTATTTAATATGCGAACAAGAACAACTTAAATGCTGTTTGCATTCACATAACGCTGTGGAATATATGAACATTGGCTTTGCATATGTCATTTACCTCACTGTAACATGTTGAATGCAGAACTAAAACTTGAATCCCAAGATCAGTTGATCGATTTGCAAAATGATGACGAAACTAAAATAAATTTTAAAGAAGACATGAGTTTGGTTCAAGTCCAGTGTTTCCAAATATTAAAAAACACCATGAACCGATCGCCTTAATTATTACCCCTTTTTACTGAATCATAATTTTGCTAAAATGTGATATAATTGGTGGACTCCTCGCCGCCGTAGGGTGGTTCACGTAACCGCTGGTCGGATACGGCTTCCTCCACCATCAAGTCCATGCTTCCGAAAACAAATAACTAGCTAACTAATCCCATACTTGTCCTGGGCTGGTACCGGACGAGAGGTCGTGGTTCGCCATATGATTAAGCCGTCTTATCGGTTTTCCTCCCCCCCCCCGGGATAAATATGTAAATCCAATCCTATTTTACGTAAGCGGTGAATGACAAAAATCTTAAAAAATTGTATAAAATCAAATTCATTTCAAAAAAATTTCCTGAAAACCCACCCCGAACCAATATCATAACGAGTACTTGAGCACAGCAATTTCAACAGAATAAAAGTATGACGTGTTGTTAACGACTTCAGCGGCGTCGTAGTAAAGGAGTATCGACCCCCAGCTTCTCTCGAGATAAAAAACTATTCGTGATGTAATTTTGGTATTCCTTGTGGAACTATTCGCTTCAATAAAGTTATCCGACCACCCCTACAACGTTTTCATAACTGACATTCACGGATTCAATATGATATATCTACAAAAAGCAATTATTCAAATTAATATAACTCATAAAAAACTCGACCTCGCTGGCGGTGTAGCCATTGATTTAGACCGCGGTTACTCCCCCTGTTGTATATGCAGATATGCACGTACCACTTCTTTTGGAAAAAACTTTTTTGTATTAGTTCTGCCTGAAACTTTAATATTCAATGTTAAAATTGTTTTGTGGAAATAAAATCTCTCTCTGTTATGTAAACACATACCAAACGTAACTTACTGTTCGTGTTGATGTATTACATTGGCAACGAGGTACCCTCACTGGATGTCGCAAGGTATACTTGTATTATTGGTAACTAATTTTCATTATGTTCCCCATATACCAAATAATTTTAAGTTGGATGCTTATTTATTTTACCAGCTCACTCAAGGCAGAAGAAACTTGCTAATATCGAATATCATCGACTGATTTATTGATACGGTTCAATGGTTTTGCCGCCTTCAGCATTTCCAGATATTTATTGGCTGATGCTAATCGCTGAAATGGGAGGTCAGTGCTTGTTGGTATTATTACATGTTTATAATCTACATATTATAGAACAATTCAGACAAAAACCTAGTTTTATGAAAGAACTTGACATAATATTCACGAACCTATGACTAATTGTATAAATTTTTATTTTTCTGCTATTATTAATTAAAAAAAATTGTAAAATAATGTATATTTAATGATAAACATGGTGAACTTCATCTGGAATCAACAATGGAACACTATCAATTACTGTACAATACTAAATGATGTGTATGAATATATGTGTTTATTATATGTAACTATGTTCTATGTTTATTAATTATTCATCATTTATTTATTTTTACAAAACTGTTTTGAATCCACAATGTGCAACCTTAAAAAAATATAATCTCAGAATCTATATAGTCTAATTTTAAAATAGACTGTAATGTTTATATTTACACATTAAGCGGCATATAAATAATATTAGTTTATAAAACTTGGCATAGTTAAAGCAGGCCTATAGTTTATTTCTGTCTTCTAACTTTATATTACGGTCCTGTACCGGTATCAGTGTATCAAAGTCATACCTCAGTACCTGCATACGGTACATTCATACGTTAGTGTCCGATTACTGAATTATGGTAGTTGAGAGATCGCCAGAATTAGCCTTAACAGCTCATATATATATGCACACATGCTGCAAACTGAATGATACAATATGCTGAATATATTCGCAAAAAAATATTTGGTTATTTAAAATATTGAATACTTAGGTTATATTCTTATATAGTATCAGGTTTAGCATACACTAATATTATGGTTTCGCTATAACTGCATATTATAGGCCTACATCAAATGCTTGAAATTACGAATTTTAGTACGGCACAGTTCTTCTATTCCAGCCTCCTCATTGAAAGACATCAATTATAACAGTGATAGCAAACCCCTCCCTTACGAGACAGATTGGTTATCCATATTGGCAAAACGGAACTGTGCAATAAACTAAAAGGAAGCACAATCTAAAACGTGACCATTCAATTCCTCTAAAAAATTAATTCGATTTACTGAAGGAGAATTAAATTTACTATAGCATTCAAGAGATTTTAGCAGAAAAAAAATTTTGGTCATGTGACAGTTGATGCACGTTGCGATTGATTCAAATTATTATCAAGATAAGCATGGCGCATTCTGACGCTTGATGCATCTGTCGTCCTGCCAGACGTTTTTGTTTCAGAGTCAGATAGAATGTTCGTTTCTTAAACCAAATGTCCGGATATCTTGGAATTGGAGAACTGTGCCCTACTGAAGTCCGAATAAAGCGATCCTGTTTTTGATTAGCCAGAAGATGTGTCATTTTGAACCTGATAAAATATATGGTTTATTCCAATTATTTCAGACAAACATTTAAATTACTAATAATAATAAGCTAATTGGATCTATTGGAAAAGTTGTTATTAAAACTCAACTCAATGTATCGATAGAATATCAAATGTTGAGGCTGATGCAGGAAGTACTAATTAAAGAGACACATTGAAATGGATGGAGCAGTCACTCGAAGTACTCGACTGTCGAGATCTCCAGCTCGCAATCTTCGAAGCAGTGGCGGAAAAAGGAGGCGATCATCACCAAGTGTAATAACTAAAAAAGTCGAAACTCCCAAGTCGGCTGTTGACAAACTTAAGAAAAAGAAGAGGAGGTCATCTATAAAGAGGAGGTCATTGGTTGCTGCGCTTGAATGCATTCAGTCTAATGAAGTATCTTCATTGGCCACAGATAAAGCCAGGGATGAAAATATAATAGAAGAAAGTGACCGTGGCATAGATATTGATAAGAAAAGGGTCATTATTAATGGTGAAGTACAAGATACTAAAAGTGTGAAAACAAATAGAGAGGATGCTGAATCTTCAGCAAAACTTGTGAATTTGGTGGAGGAATCTGAAAAAGAAGTCGTTGCTATAATAAGCAGTAGTAATTTACACATAGAAGCTGAGAAGGTCCTGGACATAAGTTCAACCAATTTAGCGTTATCTGTGTCAAATAAAAAAAACAAAATATTAAGTAAACTTGTTTTTGAATGTGATCAGTGGGTATTACAAAAGAAAAAGTACGAAGAACTTCAAAATTTAGCAAATACTGAACTGCAGTCATCAATGTCAAATGACAAGCGGGTCTTATCCACTGATCCTAAATATGATAACTATCATTTACAAATTACTGTTTTGGAGGATAAGTTTGGCAATTCACTGAATGCTATATCAGATGTAATGGCAAAAACAGAAAGTTTAAGAGAAATTAATTCAGCCAAAGTTTATCAGATTACTCAGGAAATGTTTAAAGATGTATTCACGGAAAAAGAAGACAATGACCCCAAACAAATAATTGAAAATATATTCATACATACAAGATATCATACAGGATGATTGATTTGTTCTAGCTTAAAGATTGTATTGATCTATTTTTTGTGACAAATGTTTAATATGACTAAAGTTGTAACAATGTTTATTGCAACTCATTCTTTATTATTTCAATATACGTAGACTAAGTGATAAGTTGAATTCTGAAGTAAAAATGATAACTTGCACTGTTGCACACTCATGAATAAGCAGCATCAGGTTATCGATTTGGCACTCTGGCAGTCACAGAAATATTCCACATAATAGATGGTTATAAATGTAGTAAATGTTATGTAAGCATTGTATTTCCGGTTAGTGGTTGTTTGAGACCGTTAACATTAAATATAGACTTGTTGTAATGAATCGTATATTCTGTATTATAATAGGCTGTGATAACATAAAAATTACAG